AACAAGTAATTGATTTCTCTTATGAAAAAAATATTTTAAACCAATTGTGAGTCTGTATCACAAGGATGCCCCTAGCTTACTAAAACAAATAGGTGTGACTGATGTGTCTTCACTCTGCAATGCTGGCTTTAAGGCTTGTATTTCTGCTTGAAATCCCAAGGAGAGACAACAAGTTTGGGACAATCTTAGGCAATTTTCACAAAGCCAGAGTAGGCGGCTGGTAAAGGGAAATTTGGATGGCAGTCAAAACACATAAATTAATCAATAAGTCATGTTTCAATTCAGTTACTTACAAATACTGTTTAGAACCTGACAGTGATCCTTGCTCTGGAAGGAAGAACAATCATCTAAATTACAATGAACAGCCAGCTCTGCCCCTCTGCTTTCTCAAGCCAACAATATATTTCAGATGGACTTATACAATTTCAACTTACTTCAGATCCTCTCTCTCCTTTTAGTCCTTGTTCACCTTGGTCACCCGGCTCACCCTTGAACAGGAACCAAAATAGAAACCACATATGAAGGAGAGACTAAATAAGACATGTTAACATTATTATATTTTAAATGCCAGATTTACAAAGAATGCTTTCAAAACATACTGGAGGCCCTTGTTGTCCAGTGGCACCTCTTGATCCTGGTATACCCATATGACCCTAGGAATAGAAAAGATTGTATTATTAGATTAAACAGAGACATGTGACTTAGAGAATACATTAGTATCTTTTCAAATGGTAGCAAAATGTTTTCAAATTTAATTTAAATATCAGAGAGATTATGATTCTTTCTTGTCAATATTATAGAACATAATGGCCACTGGGTATGATGGTGACTGAGAACTCTGGACACGTTGACTGTGGCATTCCCTTGGTAGTTGTGTGTTTTTGTTTGTTTGTTTGTTTTTTTCATGGAGATGAATGTAATGGGTTGAATGGTGGCCCACTAAAAGATGTCTATGTCCTAATCCCCAGAACTTGTGAATTTGGTCACATTTAGAAAAAGGGTCTTTGCAGATACCATTAAATTAGGATCTGAAAAGGATATTATTCTGAATTATCCATGTGGGCCTAAATCCATTGATAAGTGTCCTTATAAAAAAACTAGAGGCCTGGTGCACAAATTCATGCACCCATGGGGTCCCTCAGCCTGGCCTGTGGGATCGGGTGGAAACTGGTTCTCTGACATCCCCCGAGGGGTCCCAGATTGCGAGAGGGCACAGGCCAGGCTGTGGGACTCTACTGGTGCACAATCAGGGCTGGGAAGGGATGTGGGAGGTTGGGCAGCCAGGGAGGGACGACGACCAGATGATTGGACACTTAGCATATTAGGCTTTTATTATATAGGATACAGTGAGAGAGAAAGTGTAAGAGAGAGAGAGAGAACTGGAGAGAGAGAGAGAGAGAGAGAGAGAGAGAGAGAGACTGAGAGAGAAACAACAAAGGAGAGGACCATGTGAAGGCAGAGGAGAACTGGAGTGATGCAGCCACAAGGAACACAAGGAACATTCTCAGCCATCAGAAACAGGGAAAGGCCAGGAAGGATTCTATCCTAGAGCTTCAGGAGGGAGCATGACCCTGTTGACATCTTGATTTCCAATCTCAGATCTCCAGTACTATGAAAAAATAAATTTATGTTGTTTTAATCCACTCAGTTTTGGCAATTTGTTATGGCAGGCTCAGGAAACCCAAACAGCAAATAATAAAAGGAATAAAGAGCTTGAGAACAAATTTCTGTTTTCAACCCGTTCCCACTGTGGAAATGTGCTACAGTCACCATTTTTACAAACTAAGTTCATAGCTGTTTGGATAAATTTACTGGGTTCAAAGCTGGGAGCCTATATACATCAAGTGATTGACCTTCAGCAACCTGTCATCATCCTACTTCTCCTAAGAAGGAATGCTGACCTACCACATTGCCCTTTCCAAGTGTGTAAACAGAAACTAGCAACAGCCCAGGGCCATTTCAGGTGAGATTTATGCATAAAGAATTATGCATATAATATCTTCTATCCCCTTTCCTACTGTTCTCTTCACTTCAGATTTTTCTTCCTAGTCTCTTCCTAGTCTTTTATTCAGAAAAAAATGCCATAGGAAAGATAGCAGGCTCATCTCCCTTTTCTGGGCTAGGAGAAGAAATGACTGCAAACATAGGCTAACAATATTTATTCTCACAGAAAGATCAATTGAAGCCTTCTTGTTTGCATTCTGTGAGGCAAATGTTTACAGTTTTAAGATTCAACTTCCTGATAAAGGAACAGAATCGTGTTTAAGGGTGTAAACAGTGGCAAGGGAGAAAGGCTAGTTTGAAAAGCTTTCTATAGCAGATGGTCATAACTACAGAGAAAATCATTATAACATATGACCCTTACCAGCAAAACATGAGCAGAGTCAGCAAATAACAGAATCAGGGCAAACAAGAGGGAGTCTGGTATGAGTAAATATGACTATTATAGCTCACTTACCAAACAGGATTCAGGAGAGAAGTGATTAGTAAAAAGCTGGAGTTACAGAGTGAAGTGAGCGTGAGTATATGTGCAAACTCCAGAACTCCAAACTATGATGGCTAGTTATGGCTTTGCTACCACTCTTGCCTGTATTTTTGCACAGAGCTTTTTAGAATGAGCACATAGAATAGCCCACTGTATCTTTTGGCTTTGAGACGTCTGGATGCAAGTCTCACCCAAAACAAACTTGCTTCTAGGAGTTTCACTATAATTGTTCTGGTCTTTTCTGTTCTAATAAATATTGACAAAGATCATTTTTTTCTGCAATGGTGAACACTAAATATTTTGAAGTAAATATTATTATAAAGTTATTGTAGGCAAAGTTATGGGAAGTGATTAATTTTGCCTGATGTTAGGTGGGAGCAGTTGGATGGTTGTGGGGAGCTTGGAGAAGATTTTATAAAGGAAGTGATGGTAAACTGAATATTGAAGGATGAGTGTTCCAGGCAGTAAAATAAAAGAATGACATTCTGGCAGAGAAAACAGCATAGGGGAATAAATGAAGATTCATCTGACAGAACATGCTAAACAGAGAATGGATTTTAGATAGGGATAGGGATAGGGATATTAAAATAATTTGGGTAAAAAATACTTAGCCTAAAATAAAGTAGGGCAAGGTGGCAAAATACAGATGCAAAAAATCCTTAAAAAATATTAAGAAATAAAACACAAAAATACATTAAAAAATAATACATCATGATCAAGTGGGGCATAAAAATGATTCAAGATATGCATATCCATTAATGTAATATAACACATTAACAAAAGAAAGCATAAAATCATACGATGCAAAAAATTTGATAAGATACAACATCCATTTATGATTAAAACACTAAACAAAATGGGTATAGAAGGAAAGTACCTCAATATAATAAAGGCCATTTATGACAATCCCTCAGCCAATATCATACTCAATGGTGAAAAACTGAAAGCTTTTCCTCTAAAATCAGGATGCCTGCTCTCACCACTCTTATTAAAACCTAGTTCTGGAAATCCTAGCTAGATCAATCAGGCAAGAAAAAGAAATAAAAGGCATAAGAACTAGAAATAAAAAAATAAAAGTGTCACTTTTTGCAGATGACATGATTTTGTATTTGGAAAACCCTAAAGACACCACCAAAAATATTAGAAATAGTAAACAAATACAGTAAAGTTGCAAGATACAAAAAAAAGTGCACAAAAATCCACTGTTTTCCTATATATTAACAATGGAATTTCAGAAAACAAGTGGAAAAAACACATACAATTTCTTTTGCAATGAAACTAAAAGAATAAAGTTCATAGGAATAAATTTAACAAAGAATGTAAAAGTCCTATATATTGAAAACTACACAGCATTATATTAAAAAAGACAGAAAAGAAACAATGAAATGGAAAGATATTCCGTGTTCATGGATTGGAAGAATCGACGTAGTTAAAATGGCCATATCACCCAAAGGAATATACAAATTTAGTGCAATTTCCATCACCAATATTATTTTTTAATAAATAGAACAAAAAATTATCAGATTTATCTGGAACTAAAAAAGACCCTAAATGGCCAAAGCAATCCTGAGAAAAAGAACAAAGCTGGAGGTATCATACTACCTGACTTCAAATTATACTACAGAGCTATGATAATCAAAACAGCATAGTACTAGCAGAAGAATAGACACATAGAACAGAACTGATACGCCAGAAATAAAGCCACATGTATATGGGCAAATAATTTTTGACAAAGGAGCCAAAAACACATGATGGAGAAGAGAAAGCCTCTTCAAGAAATGGTGCTGGGAAAATTAGAAAGCTACACACAAAACAACGAAACTAGACAACAGTTTGCCCCCATGTACAAAAATTAATTCAAAATGGATGAAAGACCTAAATATAAAATCTGAAACAATAAATTACATAGAAGAAAACATAGGTACTAAACTCATAGAGAGATTTTATGAATTTGACCCCAAAGGCAAGGGAAGAAAAGGCAAAAATAAATGGGACTATATCAAACTGAAAAGCTTCTGCAAAGCAAAGAAACTGCTGACAAAACAAAAAGACAACCAACCAAATATGAGGTGATATTTGCAAACAAAAGTTCTGACAAGGGGTTAATATACAAATTACAAAAAGAACTCATACAACTTAACACCAAACAAACAATTCAATTAAGAAATAGGCAGAGGACCTGAACAAACACCTCTCCCAAGAAGACATACAAATGGCCAATAGATATATTAAAAAAATGTTCAACTTCACAACTACAATGAGATACCACCTCATACCTCTTACAATGGCTATTATCAAGAAGACAGGTAATAACAAGTGTTTGGAGAGGTTGTGGAGAAAAAGAAACCCGCAGTCACTGCAGTTGAGAATGTAAACTGGAATAGCCACGATGGAAGACAGTATGCAGCTGCTCAAAAAATTAAGAATACAGTTACCAGATGAGCCAGCAATCCCTCAAACACATTTACTTGCAAAGATATATGCACCCCTATGTTCATCGCAGCATTATTCACAGTGGCCAAGACATGAAGACATCAAAGTATCCTTTTGAAAAGATGAAATACTGCCATTGTGACAACAGAGATGGACCTTGAGAATATTATGCTAAGTGAAATAAGTCAGTTAGAAAAAGCTCAGAACCATATGATTTCACTCATATATGGGATATAAAACTGAAACTCATAGACACAGAAAATAGTATGGTGATTACCAGAGGGGAAGGGAAGGGGAGGAATTAGTATGGGGTAAAGGGGGCTAAATATATGGTGATGGAAGATGATTTGACTTTGGATGGTGGGCACAGAATGCAATATACAGATCACGTATAATAGAGTTGTACACTGAAAACCTATATGATCTTATTAACTAATGTCACCCCAATAAATTTAATAAAAAAGGATGATTCTGTAACCTGAATGCATCTTGGGGTGGCAACTTTAAACTGTTTGTTCTCTGCTCTTGTCTTTTAGCTCGTGCTTTTTAAACCCTCTTGTCCAGATGGAAGAATGGGGCCAGGGTTTTCTCTTCTGCCAGCCAGTGAAGATTCTTTTCTTCTCCCAGTAGAATAGTTAACCGTTTGCCAGTAAATATTCTGACTTAACTACCTAATGGTTTGTAGTTGGTAGAGGCCAAAAAAAGATATTGCAAGGACCTGATTTTCCTGAAAATGTTGTGAGAAGTCACAGCAAAAGTTAAGAAAGTTTAACCTTCTCAAATTATGCTGGAAAGCAGTGGGTTGGTGTCACAACCCAAAGAAAAGCTAATTTTAAGTAAGCCCACTGGATTCATTGAGTTAGGAAACACTTGTAGATACAGATGTTAGATAAATTGGAAACAGAAGATAGTCATCACCACAATTTCACAAACATTTAGAGCTTCGTTCAACATTTGCTTCAAAGAGAGTTTGAGGAAGTAAAAGTTGTTCTTTCAGATTTCAGGCTTGAGAAAAGTCAGTTCATTAATCATAGTTATTTACATGCTAGCTATCCATTCAATCTGGCTAAGTCTTCCTTTCAGATGTGGAGGAAAAGGGGCCACATACCAAACCTGACAAGCTCAGAGGAGGCCTGTATGGCAGTCTTACCAACTCAGAGACTGAAAGTAACCACAAAGGATGGTTTGAAATTAATACTTTTTAACTAAAAGCAGTTTATGGTGAGTAGTCATGTCCTAGGCTAGAAATCTTCCCTGACAAAGGTCAATTTTCACCTTAACAAAGCCTGTCTGTTGTCATTTTGCAACAACAATAAAATACCTTTGGAATGTCAAAATAATCTCCTTTTACTGGACCCCTCAAAGCACAGGCACTGCTCTGCTCCACTGAGATGACAAATGCCCTCATTGTTATTGAGTTGACGACTGCTAACTATTCTGTGCCCATCTATGTGAAAGAAGTATGTGTCTATCATTTTACTTTTTATCCAATCCCAGAGGTTTCTGCCCTTTCCCTTGCTTTCTCCTGCCTCCACAATCTATCACCAATGGATTTCATGTAACCCCCGCTTATATTTCCTCTTTTGATTAAAATAAGATGCAAAACTGCCATACGCTGGAACTTTTCAATCTGTTGAGATTTTGCTTCATGGCAATTGTCCTCAGTTTGGCTCAAATAAACTCAGAAATTTTCTACAGGTTTGAATGTTTCTTATGTTGACACAGACAGGATCACAAGTATTTTACATGAAAGAGGGGTATGTTGGATAGAATAGCCCATCATTCATTATTAAAAGTGAATTATGTTTATGTACATATGATGCACTATTATTTATGGGCTTAGAACAAGGCATTATACAAGAAAAAAAGAAGTCATATTCAAAATTGGAAAGCTAAAATACCTACATGTGAAAAGCAGTAAGCAAAAAAATTTGCAGCAGATGGTAAAATTTTTGTGTTGAATGACTTGTATAAACAATAAATATTCTAGGATTACAGAAGAGGGAAAGATTGCTATTAGAATGAGTCAAGGGAAGAGGGAGTTTGAACGAGATTATAAAAAATTAGATAGGATTTATGTAAGTAAAGATTATATAATATTGTTAACAAGCAGAGAACATTGTGAGCAAAGAAATAAGACAGGAAGTATAAAAAGAGAGTTAGCAGATTTTGTTTAGCAACTGACATTATAAACTGAAAGGGAAAAGATATAAAGCAAGAATACAGAACACCTTCAGAACAATTGAGCTAATAAAAAAATGACACTGAATAAATTCTACTCTAATTTTGGCTGATTAAATTGGTCACATAAAGTCCTTCTGAGAATGGATGAGGGTAAGAATTGAGATAAGGCTTGAGAACATTATGACTTTCACGCATCCATCTGACAACTTTTTATTGAATTCCTACTATATACCAGGAACTTCGTGTTCTAAAAATTGGGGATATAATAATGAAAAAGACAGTGTTATACTCATGGATCTTAAATTTTGGTGGTGGGAGATAGATAATAAACAACTCCCCCCACAAATATGTAAAATACGATATTATCGATAGCATTAAATGTCATGAAGGATAAACAAGTAATATGATATAAAGTGATGGATAGAAAGGGCACTTAGAGAAGGCCTCTCAGGAAGTAACATTTCAGCTGACATCTGAAAGATGAGAAGAAAGCAGCAATGGGAGGAGAAGATTCGAGAAAGAAGGAACAGAAAGTGCAAACAGTTGGACTTCTTTTAGGATCAAAAAAACATGACATTACTAATTATCTCAATGATGCTTATTTGCATTTGAAACTGAGCAGAACAGCTGAGAACCCTATGCTAACTTAGAAGCAAGGTGTGAAATTTGCAGTGATTACCTTATATCCCTCTTCTCCAGGCTCTCCTCTCTCTCCTTGTTCCCCCATTGGACCCTACAGAGACCACATGCAAAAATAATCAATTTCACAGCTGGATCGAAAAATTTGTAACCAAATGCATAATAAATTTATTAAGTTCCATTAAGTAATTTCAAAGGATTGAATTTCAATGACACAAAGAACATCATAAACATTGCATTTTAAAAGAGATTCTCATGATTCTGCTAGAAAAAAATATTTTAGAAATGAAGTATAAATGAATATAAATTAAAAAAGATTTAAGCAGGACCACTCAGCCATTTAATTTCACTTACTATACTTTACAGTTCTTAATCATTAATTATATTATTTATTCTCTAATCTGTGAAATTTAAAAATCTTAAGACACAAATTAACCTAAAAAACACTACACGTATTAATTTTAATCTTTAATGTAAAAACTAATCTAATAAACTCACACACTTCTAACTTTTCTAAACATTTCTAATATAAAATTTTTGATATAAGCTGTTCAAATGATCTAGTCTAAAATACACTTGAAAAAAAATCAATTATCACATATAAGGACCTACTTTCTGAAAAGAAACTCAGATTGAAATTAGTTGGGAAAACCATAAAATTTATTCTGAACAATTAGTTGATAAACTTTAACTTATTCCTCTGTGAAAAATAAAGATAATAGACTTAATGTAAAACCCATGATCTTTGATTCTGCTTTTTAATTATTTAGAATCTTGTTTAAGTTTCCCATCTGTCCCATGTATACTAGTTAAAATCACCAGTGTTATGTTAGATTTTTAATATATTTTTTAAATTTCAGTGACATTCTTAGATCCTGGAAAAGCTGAATCTGGGGAAAAGAAGTACTACTATACTCTATTTACCCATACTTTTCCATTTGCTTTTAAATTTCTGCATTATTTCCATATTTTTTCCTCTCAGAGGATTAGAGCCTTCTCTCTTTTTTAAAAAAATATATTTTATTGATTTTGTACAGAGAGAGAGTGAGAGAGATAGAGAGTTGGAAACATTGGTGAAAGAGAAACATTGATCCTGCACACCCCCCACTGGGGATAAGCCTTCAACCAAAGTACATGCCCTTGACTGGAATCAAACCTGGGACCTTTCAGTCCGCAGGCCGATGCTCTATCCACTGAGCCAAACCAGTCAGGGGGAGCCTTCTCTTTTAATAAAGAATCTTATACATTCTTTAAAATGTTTTTAAAGTATACTTTTATTGATTTCAGAGAGGAAGGGAGAAGGAGATGGAAACATCAATGATGAGAGAGAATCATTGATTGGCTGCCTTCTGCATGCCCCCTACTAAGGATAGGGCCCACAACCCAGGCATGTGCCCTTGACTGGGATCGAACCTGGGACCTTTCAGTCCACAGGCCCATGCTCTATCCACTGAGCCAAACCAGCTAGGGCTTATATATTCTTAAAGATAAGTTTGCCTCTAGGCATACGAAATGACTTGCTTTAATCAGAAAAATTCTAGAATCTTTCCTTTCTATTTCTATAACAATGTATAACTTTCAACGACCACTAAAAATCCAGTTCAAAATATCCGGAGTGACTACATATTCTGATCTTTCTGCTTGAGGATTCTTTTTTCTTTTTTTAAAATATGTTTTTATGGATTTCAGAGAGGAAAGGAGAGGGAGAGACAGATAGAAACATCAACGATGTGAGGGAAATCATTGATCGGCTGCCTCCTGAATGCCCCTGACTGGGGATGGAGCCCGCAATCCAGGCATGTGCCCTTGACCAGAATAAAACCTGGCACCCTTTAGTCCACAGGCCGATGCTCCATTCACTGAGCCAAACCAGCTAGGGCCTGAGGATTCTTTTATCCTATATGATAGCATGTGAAAACTAGAAAATTTAACCAATTATATTTATTTCTGTCAAATAAGCATTCTTATTTATTCACTTAATTTTCTACAATAGCTATTTTTTTCTGTTTGTTTTTACATATGTCTTACAAATGTCTCCTTTTTCCTGGATTGGACCCACCCTCTCCCCCCCCCCCGCATAGTATTCTATGGTGTAGATGTACCAGTTTTCTAATCCACTCATCTGCTGATGGGCACGTAGGCTGTTTCCAAATCTTAGCTATTGGAAATTGTGCTGCTATGACATAGGGATGCACATATCCTTTCTAATTGGTGTTCCTGGTTTCTTGGGATTTGGTCCTAGAAGTGGGATTACTGGGTCAATGGGAGTTCCATTTTTAACTTTTTGAGGAAACTCCATACTGTTTTCCACAGTGGCTGCACCAGTCTGACTTTCCACCAGCAGTGCACGAGTACAATAGCTATTTTTTTAAAAAATCATTGTTACAGCCATCCCTTAAAATGCTTAATTAGGAGACTATAGATTAGTGATCTTTAAAAAGTATTAGTTCTAAAAACTGGTTAGATGAGTCTTTTTTTAAAAAATCTTTATTGTTGAAAGTATTACGTAGGTCTTTCTTATTTCCCCAGGGTTAACCTCTTCCTGCCAGCTCCTGCTTCCACCCCCACCTCCAGGCCCTCAGGTTAAATGAGTCTTTAAATCATTTGCTGTGTGTAAACTACTATAAAAAGGGTACAAATCAGATTTTTAAAAATACTTCAGAAATAAATCTGAATTTGATGACTAAAGTAATATCTCCCCTAAAATGTCTACAGTATGTAATTTTAAAATAATCTCTATAAAACGTGTTATCATGCATTTAATGCTGAAAGTTAGATTTAGAAAGTCACTGTATTAAACTTACATATTGTACAAAGGACCTTGACCTGCATATAAATAGCTTTCATATTTAGATTATGTCGCTACAGATACTGCTGTTCTATAAAAATCATGTGACAAAAGTAACAAAATAAAGTTCTTTGAAAGGATGTGGCTGATGTTTTGAATCTATTTTAGTAATTACATTTTATCTTGAACATCAAAATAATTTCAGAAAAAGACCTACTGGTTCACCTCGAGGCCCAGGTGGTCCTAGGACTGTGTTATCTTCTCCTGGATAACCCTAAAACGAAGATAATGATTTATAAAACGACAAGTTAATAAAATGATCAGCACACTATCCAGCCTATTATTTTCTAATATGTCATGAAATATACAATATGGTTTTATCTTTTTTAAATAGAAAATTTTTACCTACAAAACTTAGCATATGATATTTTATTCATAGTTGTAATTCATATGAGGTTCTCCTTGAATTAATCTGAGTGAATTACATAAAAAGCAGCTTAAGATTTTTCTGTGTCAAGTTTCCAATGATGTTACAAATCAAGTGCAGTACTATTGTAGTTATTCTTAACTCATAAGACATTTTACTATAAATGTACTGTTTAGTCAGTTAACCCACAGTCCCCCAATCTCTTTCAATAACAACTTAATTTTACTTTTATAAAACTTTATAGGTTGCAAAGTACTTGAATATATATTAGTTCACCTCAATCTTGAAACAACCTATGGAAGACAGTTTAATGATTTATTGAAAGTTTTCACCCATTGCTATTTCTTTGTTTTTCTTCTAGAATTTGGAATACTTCCCCAGTTGAAAGGGGAAGTTTATTCTTTGAAACAGTTGCCATGCATACGTTCAGAAAGAACACATGAATTCAGTGTTTGACTTTAGGATTAAAAAGTAAATATACACACACACATACCTTTTCTCCTTTAGGTCCTGGCAACCCAGAAAGTCCTGGTTGACCTTGATGGCCCTAACAAAAAGACAAGCGAGTAGTCTTTCTCAATAACATTTGTGCATGCTCTTCCTAAAACCACCAGGGCCACACTATTAGATACTGCACTATTTTGAAGAAAAATAGGATTCACTCTATAAGGGCATGAGGCCTAATATGTTTAAAAGGTCTATCAGGGAGATTGCACCTCAATTTGCATACTCGGAATAACATCTACACTAATAAAAGAGAAAAATGGTAATTGGCGTACAACGCTACCCTTTTCATTGGCTAATCAGGGCTATATGCAAATTAACTGCCAACTAAGATTGGCAGTTAACTGCCAACAAGATGGTGGTTAATTTGCATATGTAGGCACAATGCAGGGAGGCGAAAGGGAAAGCAGGAAGAA